TACAATAAACTGGTAATCCCAGAAAGCATTAATCACAAGTCTACACTGACAAAATAACCACTCAAAACATTTCAGACCGTTGTATAAAAAAGGTCTGAAGCTCCCTCCTTTGGTGGCAGTGCTGGAAGGTATATTACATGTTGCTGAGCAGGTATACCTCCACATCTACCAACTAACTCAGGGACCACAAGCGCAAAGATGAAGTAATCTATTAAATCACCAGGATTATGTCAAGCTGCAGTGTGCAAGAAAGTGATGTAACAGCATCATGACCAGCAACTTGTTTTGTTTTCCAGGCTGAAGGATGAGATTCAGCTGGATGTAATCATCATGTAAGCCAGAGCAACACTCAAATTCAAACTTTTGGCTCTGTCACAAGATGGTTTAGTCACTCTTCCACCCCCCTCCAAACCAGCTCATTTCATTATCCAACAATTTTAAATTGAGTTTGTTAGTCAGTAAGCTTGTTTTTCATTCAAACACAGTCTAGCCACATTAAACTAATGTATTCATTTCTCAGCAAAACCCAGCAATTTCATCGTTTTGATGTTTATAGCTTATAAACTTTAATCGTGAAAAATATAGGTTAGTCAAGCTCACTAGATACTTTAAGTTAAACTTCTATGCAGCCATTAAAAAGTAAATAAGAATGGGCGCAGAACTGTAACTTGAAGTAAATGTTCCAGCTGCCAGGCATTCTGGCTGTGCAAAGCATGGAGCATGACTGCAGTGACAGAGGTGATAAATCTGCCATCCTTTTGATTATTACAGACCCATTTCTTCTACCTTTATGCACAGAGAATGATCATTAATCACGCAATCAGTCCTACTTGATGTCTAAGCTCATAAGACAGTGCTATAGGAATAGAAGGACAAGTGGATACAAACAAGGGTGAGTTTTTAGTGTTAAATCTCTGTCACCAAAACGAAATGCTTTGCTCACTGTGGCTGGAAGCATGATTAGGTAGTATCCTGCCTAATTTAATACTAAGTTAAGATAATGGTAAGTGTACTAGACAATGAAGCAAAAAAAGAAGGAACTGTTTCTGTGCCAGTACATAGCTAAGCTGCCAAAACACTCTTCAGCTCGGCAGAGATGATCTTAGGATCAACCCAGTGAATTAACACATGCTACATGATGCAACGTATTGTATTGTCTTCTTCACAAAAAAAATCTATACCCCAAACCTATATGCTAAGAGAATGTAATTTTAGATGTACAAACAAGCATTCAAAAGCTAGGAAGAGCTATTTTTTGTGCATCTTAAAATTCACACAATGAACCATTTTTCAATTTCCATGTGATGTGTATTGAATGCAGAGCATGTTTTTATTTATATGTGTATATGTATGGGCAGATATAAAAGCATGCTCTGCACTCATACGGTAAAAAAAGGTATGTAATTAAAAATTGCATAATTACATGTATATGTATATGTACACGTGTATGTGCATATATCTGTGCACACATTCATACATGCATACATACATATATATACACACATGTATTTATTATTTCATGTGCACCATACAAATTTTTGCAGTTGATGCTGACTTAGCATGTGGATTTTTTAATCATACAGGTGCAAGTGATGTCAGAACTGAGACTTACTTCACTGGAAATGCAAAACCACAAAGCAAGAAACATATGCTAGAAATGCTCAGCTGCTCATCATTAGAACAAGGAGATCACCCCAAGCAGTGGATATCATGTACTGGTAAATGGATTTGAGTAAGACAGCTATTAGTCTTTTTCTGAAATGAATTGAACTGCAAGTACTTGGAGGAAGTTTAGTTTATCTTAGGCTTCAGACACCTAGAATAAAATAGCTGATAACTCCAATTTCTAACAGAAACATGCAGCTTTCTTTTGTTTCTCAGTTTACATTACGATACATAATGGGACTGATGAATAATGGAACCAGAAAACAAGTGAACTTTTCTGTACAGTAGAGGATGAGGAAGGGCAGGAATTGCTAAGAAGTCATTACCATAACAGGAGTCTGTGACAGAGCAGGATGCAGCAAAATCTATTTGCAAGAAAGAGTCTTCATTCACAACGATGTCAGTGGTGACAACATAGCGAGTGCTAGCTTTCTCAATGAACACTAGAGCATCCCCAGTAGAGCCGCAGACTGGCATCTTTGTTCCACCAGGATGGAGCAGCCACTTCCTACTATCCAGTGTGGTGAAATCATCTTCTAACACTGTGTTACCTGAGATGTTTCCTCCAATAAGAATCTGAAACATTAGGAAAGGAATTGTTTTTGAAAAGATAAAATGTCTAGAAGTCTTCACAAACATACATGTGACATAGCATCCTGGAGAAGGAGAAGATTTACTGATCTATGCATATATATTCTCCTGGACCCAAATGGACAAATTTACTTTGTAAAGAGCTTAGATTATGAGGAAGGGGAATATCTTTTTCCTGTAAAAGGGTTCTAAAGAAATCTGCTTAGCTATACAAATGTAAAGTTCAGGGAGGCGAACTCAATCCTGGACGAAGTAAAACTGCTCACAAAAATAGATGTTGGTAGGAGTAAAGTTACAGTGTCATTTTCCCTCCTGTCTGTTCAGCTGTACTATAATCTGGCACACTACTCTCTGATTGCATCTACTGATAGAACTGGGGAAATAGTCCCTGATTTACCATTGACTGTAAGACATCAGCATTTAACTATTCAACAGCAACCAACATAAAATTAATTTTCCTTTGTTACTCTAAATTCAGTTTCTGATTGTTCCAAATTGTATAACTGCTTTCAATGAAGATACAGGAATGAAAGAGGTAAATTTTCTCATTTTTAAATGGAGGGACAGAAAGTAAAATTTTCATATAATCACAGAATAGTTAGGGCTGGAAAGGACCTTAAAATCATCAAGTTCCAACCTGTCTGCCATGGGCAGGGACACCTCACACTAAACCGTGACACCCAAGGCTCTGTACCGCCTGGCCTTGAACACAGCCAGGGATGGAGCATTCACAACTTCCTTGGGCAACCCATTCCAGTGCCTCACCACCTTCACAGTAAGGAACTTCTTCCTTATATCTAACCTGAACTTCCCCTGTTTAAGTTTTAACCCGTTACCCCTTGTCCTATCACTACAGTCCCTAATGAAGAGTAACCACATTGTAACCACATCATTAAACATGGCTGGAGTTTGGTTTCTGGGTTTCTCCTAAGGACATGAACTAATTCCTTTAAAGTATTAATGCATAAATATTTAAGCAAGCTGAACTTGGGCAGCCCAATAACACTACTTAGAGCATAATCACTTTAGTAGGGTTTCTTGAGAGTTATAGCAAGTCACACAAGCAATATAATAATCTTTATAGAAGTAAGTCCTGAATACAAAACAAAATTTTGGTTTAAAAATTAGAAGATGGATATTGACTGTCATTTTTCCATAGGCTTTTCTATTACATTCTACCAAGCCAATTATATGTTTGGATAGATTTTAAGTGAAGTTTTTTGAACTCAGACTTGCATGTTGCATAGTAAAGCCTTCTGCAACGTGAACCAGGGGCTCTACCAGTGTATAAAAGACTTTCGTAGCTCCAAAAGGCTAGGAAAATTTTTCATACATGTTCAGGCACGTTCAGAACCCCGCATGGAAACCGTGTATTAAAAACCAAGATTAGCAAACAGCAATCGTGTGCTACTATTTTGCTAGATTATTATATACTTCTGAAGTATCTTTATGCAAAGCAGTTTTGCTTGGCACAGTGAGATGACATATGCCAACCAAAGGGAAAAAGTAAGACTGAGAACAGTCTAAAGTTGTTTATAAAACCCCCAAAGAACCCAGAGGATTCCTTACCTGGTCTATTACCCAGGGACTGTAAAAATGCCCGTTCTCGGATGGTTGCCACCAGCGAAGCCGAGTGGAGCTGGAACGGGCCTTCGAGGGAATTTCCAGGGCAATGTATCGTCCCACATTGCTGGAGTTACTGAAGAGGAACTCCTGGAGAAGGCTCCACGTGAGGCCCCCGTTGAGTGAATACTGCAGCAGCACAGGCTGGCTCCTGGGGTCTGGCACCCCCTTGCCACATCCCAGCCTCATGAAGAACTGCACAAATCTAACAGGGGGGAGCAATTACTGAAAGGATTTCTTTTCTGTAACACCCTACATAACCAACTAGAGACACCTGGAGTTTGTCTGTTGACATAGCCCTGTGATTTCTTGCCGTAAGAGTCTGCTTCAAGAGACCTTACGATTGCCTTTTCAAAGCCTCCCAGTGGGCAGGCAGGTGGGATGACAAAAATTTGTTTTGCCTGTGTGATGGTTTGCCAGGCAGAAGAGGCTGAGCAAAGCTTGACATTTATGTTTTGACCTTTTGTTTGCATAACAGATGCTGTTCCAAATATCTGGAACATAATCCTGGGTGAAATTTTTATCCCTGGAGCCCATGAGCGCAGATTTTAGTGGCAGAAAAATAACAGTGCCCTAAGTCGATCACATTTTGTTATGAATTCGCTGAAATGCTTAAATTCAAAACAAGCATCCCGGTTTTCCATTGGCATAAACTAGGGAAAATCTGGACAGCAGAACAAAGCAACATTCATTTTCAGGGATCATTTTGTCCATTTACTCAGCCTGGGAAATTTGTCTAAATCACACCACTTAGATGTGCCGGCTTCCCTGAAGCCAGCCCAAGCCACCCAGGGACACCAGTGCTTTCATCCCCTATTTAATTGGCTTCTCCAAAGCAGCACAATAGACTTGTATCAAACTGTGAAATTCTTCCTGTTAGCTGATGCTCATAAATAGCTGTACGCTACATTTGGAGTGGAGGGAACCACTGCTGTAATGATATTTACCTATCGGACTCGCAGGGATATTACAAGTACTAATTCATGTTTGCACAGCTTTTGCACAGCATTAGAGTGTTGTATCTGTTCTAATTATTATGGCATTATTGCTGCCTGGCTCATGGTTAAATGAAACGGCGCAGAAGTTTTGTATCAGAAGTCTTGCTCTGGTTTGATCTGCAGGTAGATCCACTGGGACTGGAGGCTGCGGAGATCCTGGGCAGACAAAGCTTCAATAAAGCACCAGATCCGCAAGTCAATTAATTCTAGTCCTCACTGCGACTCACCCTTTCTCTTGCTACTATATATAACTTCTTTTGCTATAGATTGTATCTGCCTCCGTGTCCCAGACATGACATACTGCTTGTGCTGTAAAGGAGCACTGGGGACCCTCATGCATCAACATATCAACTGTAATGGATTGGATTCACTGCTGGTGAGTCTTTGTGCCTTCTCAGATTTACTCCAACATTTGCCACACAATTCAAAGGAAATAAACCCAGGTGACCTTGTCTCTGTTGAATCTGTTCTATGTGGATTGCTCTTCTTTTATCTGAAATTTTACTCATATAGTAATAACCACCTCAAATATAGGTAATGTCTAGCAGATAAAAAAGATATATTAAAATATCCCTCTTCTCATTCCACATATATTTTGCAAAGGCTCTGCCTATTTTGAAATGGAAAAGCAGAGTTTTCTTGCAGCTCTAGTAACACTAAAATATGTGGATATTCTTCTACTAATTCAGAATTGAGAAAGATTTGATCAGTTGTGATACTTAAATATTCTCTCCTTACTTATATTTCATGCTGTGCATTTCCAGTTACTGGTATGTGATGGTGATATACTGTCCCTTATATTGAAAGTTTTAAAATACAGATTTAATGTGATGGTAGTGGATAGCGGATTGCAGAACCCACTCGGTTTCCATCCCCTGGTGCCAAGCTGGCTTGCAGTGCTAACAGACACCACTGCTCACCTGTGTACTTCAGAGGATTTCCTCATGGGAAAAGGGGAAGTTTTAATGTGACTACTGAGTCTAGTACCTTTAAAAATATCTATCGGGAATGCTGGTTCTCATCATTCCTGGCATAAACTCAAACCCTTTGCCAAGTTCTGTGCAGAACTCAGCACATCTGTGTCATAGCCAGATCTGTTGCGCTTTGCAGGTGGCCAATAGAATCAGCCTGGAAATTAAGAAAATCCCACTGCAATTACTTAGGTTGCTGAAGAGCTATTGCAGTCTGCCTTGCTCTTCAGAGAGCATAGAGTTATTTGTTGATAACTGTTGTTTTTCATAAGCATTAACAAGAAATTAAATGTATTGCTTTGTTTGCCTTTTACTCAGGCAGAAGCTATTTATCTCCATATAACACCTTGAGGTCAATGTATGCAAATCCAGCTACAGACTATCACAGAGAAGAGATAAATGATGGTTCTTTGAACACAAGCAATAAGGAAAACATGTCATTTAGTCTAATGGAGCAACTTACAAGACCTCTTGTGTCTTTTATTAAACAATCTTTTAATTTTATATAGGTCTAGGAAATCAAAACAGTGCAGAGAACTGATGTTTGTGTTTACCAAGTCCTGAAAAAGGTTTGCTGCGAGGAATCTTACAAATTACAGGGATCTTTAATATTACACTTCACTGAGGCTTAGCTAACTGCTGATCTAAAAAAATATAATGGTTAGAAATTAGGCACCTTTATTGACTATAACGCTCCGCAATCATTTAAAGCTTCAGTGCTAATGAAGACAAGTCAAAAAGAGATAAAGTGCCTGTTAAAGTGTTTCTCACAGAACATTAGAGAGGAGTAGGGTGTTTATAAAACATCAGTGGAAAAAAGTCCTGGAGAAAACGCAATCTCTCCAAAGTAATAATACAATGATATAAGCTAAGATACTGAATACTTGGAAAACAATGCCGATTAGTTAGCATGCATGCAATTAAGATGTGGTTTAATTTATATAAGTAGAATTTTTTTCATCCGGCTTGCTTAGCATGTCTCACTCATCAAATATCTACTCTGCAGGCTGTAATGATACAACATAATCTCTAAATACACTAAAAATATTTGGTTTTCAATTGCTGTGCTCAGTGTAGCTGGTGACAGCTTGATGGGAATTTCTCAGTGAATTATTGGAAACAAATGTGCACAATAAGGGGAAAGTAAGCTTCAGAAATTAAAGAATTATGAGATGATGAATTTAAGAGCTATACTGGCAGCAGAATCTCCTGTTTCAGCAATGGCTCGTAATATACCAAACTGCAAGACAAGCAGAGCGTGTGACATGCAATCGATTTCTCATGTTATGCATTTAAGAAATAAACACTTGCACAAGCTACTGAAGGCGTGGCATTGGATCCTGGAGTTCTTCTTCTTATTCAAGGGAAAAAGTAATACTTAAATGGTTAATCCCATTAAAGTTCAAGTTAGATTTAATTTAAAATAGTAACAGTGGTTAAAATTGAATATTTGCTACAGCAAGGACCACAGAAAATATCAGCTTGCCTTGACCACAGTAGGGTCACATATGAATTACTCTTCAGTATATTATTTCTTCAGTGAAATCCTGAAAGAACTTTGAAATTGTGTTACCTGGCTTGTGACAAATCTAGGTCTCGAGTCATCAGCATACGTAAACCTTCTTCATTGAAGAATAGGTTGTTTCCTCCAGACATGATACCACATTTCCTTGATGTCTTTCCACCACTCACAAGCAGGAATCTATCTGACTCCAGCTGACCTGAATACACAGTGAATACATATTTATGATTTACTCTAAATGTGCCTTCTGCAAGAGTACTATTTCCAGAGGATGAGAGCTAAATTAACATCACACACAGAGTGAAGAAACACCCAGTATTTGCGATTCAATGCATCCTAGAAAACTGCCATGAGTCAAAACAAACAAACCCAGAAGAATGAAATCCGGGATCTTATTCTCCAGTTACGCACAAGAGTTTCTACTTTTCTTCATTTTTCTTAAGATACCAACGAAGTACTCAGGTCTATAAAGAAACTTTGGGTACCACGTGGTAGCACTCAAGCAAGGGCTGGCAAAAATTAAAATGAACAGCAGCACCTATGAAGGGATGAGTTTGATTCACAAACGTGCTCTTCTTGCCATGATTTCCGGCAAGGGAAACCTCAGGGTGGTTTTAGAGCTGTGGACATAGATGCTGTGTGTGCCCTGGCAAGCATGAGACTTTGAGTTCCCTCCTGCCTACACTTGTTTAGGGTCTGCCATGCCTTCTGAGGAGTGGCCCTCACCACTGAGACACACACTCTGCCCTAAAACCGTATTTGTCATATTAAGGCTACTTATACTTCCCATGTGAGAAATAAGACAACCTTAAAGCCCTCCACTGTTTGCTTCACTTGCATTCTGTCTGTACTGAAGTCAAACTACCATCATTTTCCTCTGAAATTATTTTCTACATGTAGAGTTTCAGGAAATTCTACGTCAGTGAATATCTTGTATTCCACAGCATTCGCAGCTTCACCAAGAGTCGGACACTCCAAAACAGACAGTGATAGCCATGAGACATTCACAAACTGTGCTTGAGAATGAGGCCTGAATTGCTTGGTTCATGGGAATACCTCCACAGGATAAATTATATTCAGAACCATGCAGGGGTGAGGAAGACTTCACTGTTTTATCCCTTGAGCCATGGATTCCACTAAGATGGACAGGTAGAATTCAAACTCCTCCCAAAAAATGATACCTTCAAAATCATCCTTAAGGAAGTCAGCATTCTTGGTACTTATTTTGCAGGTTGGCCCAGAGTAGCCAGGGTCACAGATGCACTTTGTGCCATTGATACAGCTGCCGTGCCCACTGCACATCTCCTCGCACTGCGGGCCGATGTACACATTGTCAATGGCCCAGGTCACTGGCTGGGATCCAGCAGGGTAAAATCCTTGGTACCATCTGAACCTTGCCAACCTGAAAAGGCATAAAGGGTATGTACTTTAAATAACAGTTCCACCTTTTTTTGTACTTCCTACATAAACCGTACTATGCATATATGTGGTATTCTTTTTGTTGAAAATGGTTTGACAAATTGCTTAATTCTGGAAACTGACTGCTATATCTAATTCCTTCAGCACCTCATGCATCTTCATAGTGATATTCAACCCAAGTACTGACAGAAATAAGAATAACATCATTCATTAGTTGTAATATCAGAACTGAATGACTGACTTGAAAATGGGATTCTAAATCTAACCACTCTTCTCTGTTCTGTTCACAGGGAGGATGAATGGATGTGGTCTGAAGGATTCCCTTCTGTTTTGGTGTACAGTGTCTGGGGCAGACTGAGCCACTTTCACCCTCTCCTGGAGAGTGAAATCCTACATGCTGCCACCCCCTCTGCAGTGAGACCACACAGTGGAGCTGGGATGGGTGGATCTCACCCTCAGTTACATGGAAAGAAAATGTTATTTCCCCTGTCACCAGGTATTCAGCTTACTGTTGGGCAGCTTAATCTTAAAGCAGTCTGGTATTGCAAGTTGTTAATTTAAACTATATTCTCCTTTGGGTGCTGTTCTGTCATTTTTAATTTGCCTTCTTAGTGTCAAAGCTGCATACAGAGGACTGACTGGGGAAGGAGGGAAAACAAATTGAGATGGGGAAAAACACTTGAGAGACTAGTTTTATTCCCAATTGAGAAAATGCTTTGAAGGGGGAAGGAAACCAGTAGAGTGAGAAGGGAAAGACACTTAATTGCCTTCCATGTTTAATGTTTTAGAGATATCTAAATGCAGCAGGTATTATTGGCACAGGTAGCTGGTGAGTTTTTTCTCTTGGTTTGCTAAAAAGGAATTTTTATGAGGGGATTCAGGTGATAAGGGGTAGCTGATGGCTGGGAATGCTACTAAGAGTTTCAAGAAAGGTTCCCGAGAGCCAGAGCTCTGCTGGATGTAAAAAACATTGATTTTAGTGTGTCCTGAGGGGAAGGACTCAAGTGTGAGGCTGGAGGTGTTGTAACCTCCTTTTCAGAGGAGATCTCTGCCGCACAGGCTAGATTCATTCCACCCCAAGGCACGTCAGCTCCTTCCCTCAGGCTTCGGAAGGGTGAAACGTGACTGAAGCAGAGAGTGGAACACTGGTCTCGCTGAAGTCAGTAGGGGTTTCTTTACTGACTCAACAGGCCCTGGGCTTTTCCTTCAGGACTTAACTGGAATACTTAGTTACAGCTGCCTGCTGAGAACATGTATTAATTTGCAAAATAACATACGTGGTGGAAATAACTGAAAATGTCCTCATCTTCTTTTAAATATAACCAAAACTCTGGGGATGAAAAGGGGGAGCGGTTTTTTAGAATTACATAAGCAGTCAGGTTTGGATTTTCTTTTTTTCTTATTATTCCAGTGAAATTTGGTAGAGAAAATCCCTCTGTCCCAAGAATTTCATGGCACTGAATGCCTGATGGAAGCGGCTCCTTGCTGCTGGGTTTGGCTGGCTATCAGCAATTGGCTTCTGGCCT